TTTAGTCTTTGAGGAAAACTCTGAGTCAGAAATTATATAGAAAACTTTTGTGCCACCTTTTTACTTTCTCTTAGATATAAATGGCACTGCCTGTCTTCTCAGCTGAAGCAATCATAAATGTTCAGGGTGTCAGATAAACATCTGAAATATAAAAGATACGTTATACCATAGTCATTACGTATGTGAGATTCATTGCAATATTGTTTATTTCATTATTACAATGAATTATTATGATAGTGTCTTCTTAAATGTAAATATAAGATCTAACTATTAACCCATCGCTGACGGGGTAAAAGTTTTGGTAAGTGGACGTATGCACGGGCTTGTTGGTGTGCATCGGCAGTTTCCCCTGTTTTGCGCCCAGATCGATCTGTAGTTTGCGAGTGACATTTAGCACCTAAAAGCTTTTATTTTGCTAAAATTTATAAGAATGTTAAAATTTTGAAGGTTTACCTTCATTATAGTGTCATTGCCTAAAATATTTACCATATGAATGAAGCCGCTACTATCAGAGAAAAACAACCTCTGTCCGACGAGCCAGTGGCACGGGAATGGGCATGACATGATGCCCCCCGGCGTTCGGTCCACAACAGCTATGGCATGTATGTATGTGCCACCAGCGGCAACGGGTTAACTTTGAAATGCGGTAATAGTGCGAGTCATAGACAAAAGCACTAAGGATAGTCTTTACACCGAGTCATAGACAAATTTAGGCTGTTTTTAGGACAGACCTTAATTTGTCATAGACCTTTCATGAATACTGCCCAGTTCTGATAGCCCTGTTAGAAAAACAAATTAGATGACTTTGTGTGATTATAGAGGTTGCACAGCACATCCATAATTCAGGGAAGACGAAAATGCGAACCAAATCCAGCTCAGGAACCGCAGAATTTGCAATAATTACTCCTCCAATCATTATTGGCCATTGTCACTAAATTTAGAGATAGGCTCAGAAGAATACAATGCAAGGGGAATCACACAAAAGAAACACTGCATCTGAAAAGTACGAGCACAGAAAAAGAAACCAAGAAAGAATTCATAGAAGTTATATACGTGATTAATGATCATGAAAGGAAGTGAAAGAGGGAAGAAACCTGGGAATCTGCGTGATAGGAAATGCTGTCCAGGGAGACAGCAAATAGAACGCTGAGTTCAGTAAAGCTGCCGTGGGAAAATTATTTTAAAATTTTTCTTTTTTTTTTTTTTTTTTTTTTTTTTTTTTTTTGTTGTTGTTGTTGTTGTTGTTGTTGTTTGTTGTTGTGTTGTAAATGTTGTGCAGCCTGCAGTTGTATGAAGTTATCCTATTTGATATTTCCAGTTAGGTTGTCATATCCAATTATTATAACTTTCAAACCAGAACCTGAATAGTCCAGAAATGTACATACTGAATTTTACTTTCTTGGTTTTTTTGGTGTATGCCTGTGATTTGATTTACTTTCCTAATGTTTGATGCAAATGGATAGTCTTTTTTTTAAACAGGAAAAGAACACTGTTATTACTTAGGAAACATATTATATTCCTCTGAATGCTGTACATTACATAAATTGAATGATAAACCTCTTAACAGCATGAGAGAGAAAGAGAGAGAGAGAAGCTGATCATAATCTCTCCCTATTAAACCCTTCCTCCCTGCCTCCTCCCCTTCCCAGGTTCCATGACAGGGAGCGTGTGCACAACCTACGAGAAGACGGGCTCAGCCCCCACCTCCCCCTGAAGCTGTCCTCCCAGCAAGTTCAGACAGACACGGTAGATTCTAAGGACAAGGGGGATGAGAGCAGCCACGGTATGCATCAGTGATATTTTAGAGCTTAGTCCTTATGTTGCTTAGGCCGTTAGGTTGTGTGTTGCAAGTGGGGAAGACTCACATTCAGACAGAATGTTTTAATTTTTCAAGGATCATTCTGGTACATTTTTTCTCTAGCCTAAATGATGCACTGCAAGTGTACATGTTTATGGGAGTTGTACAGTGCTTATCAAAAGATGTAAGAACTGTCATTGATAGCATCATATTGCCTGCAGTAATAACAGCATGCATTTAAGTCCTTTGATAAGAGCCATTCAGAAACTAAATTGCCAGAAAGCTTTGTAATGGAAAGTAGGGAATTGGCAAAATTTCTGTATATATAATTTTTCCTTTTTAGGTTGAAAATCATAGAAAAAGAAACTAGGCAACTGAATAGATGGTTTCATTGTTCATGCATGTGTTCTTTAGACATGCAGGAGTTGTTTCTTTATAAAGATCTAACTAAAGTGCTATGGCTAGGATATGGGATACCAGCTGATTCATAGAGGAATAAGTATATGCTGAATTATAGCACCATTTTAATACCTTGAATTCTGCTGTTTAAATGATTGCATCAATCAGTAATAAGAAGTGTAATTTCTGATAACTCTTCCTAATATGGACAATCACTAGAGATTCTTTTTTGATAGGTAATTCATGATATTGAATGCTAGACGGAACTTATTAGAATGTAAATTAATCTTAAATTCCACTTGG